TGACGCCAAATCAAGTCGACGATCCAAGCTTCGGTTAGGTTAGGTTAGGTTTGGTTTAGTTAAGTTAGGTTAGGTTAGGTTAGGTTAGGTTAGGATCGGTTAGGTTAGGTTAGGTTAGGTCAGCCTAACTTAACATATCATATTTATTCATTACTAACGTATTGCCAGGAAGCTTTCTGAAGCTTGTGTAGCTTGTGGTAGTTTGTGGTAATTAGACGGACCCATACAATACGCTATTAGCTAGATAGTCAAAACATATAACACGCATTATTTCACAGGAATTTTTTCTAGCAAATATGCTTCCTTTAAGCAGTTCAACACATCAAACACCAGCAGTCCGTGAAATTCCCTTTAGTCAATAATCATCCTTTACAGTATTTCTTGACTAAAATAGCACTCCAAAACATAAGTGGACATTTTTATTCTCACTCTCGCACTTATAGTCAATAATTTGTTTCGCAGAGTGACAAGTTATGCTTAGTGACGAGATTTCACGGTGAGCATAGTTTAAGAGAGTTCACACTGTATTAATTACGGTCATGGATATGTTATGTTATGTTTATGAAGATCATTACTTCTTATTTTTAACATTTTTCTTGCCCCCAGCTTTTCAGTCTTCTCATATTCTTTTCAAATAAAGTTTGCTTACTGTTTCCAGTAGATTGGCTTCACATTACATATATTAATCAATTTTCAAATTCAGTTCAGTTTCTTTTCAATATCACAGCTTTGTTGTTCCCCTGCCAGTATCTAGTTCAAGACCTCTTATTATCAATGTCATTAATACTACTATCATCAACCATGTATTAGATGTCTCAGACATTCAGTTAACAACTTAGTAAGTGTTTAATGAACGTGAGAATCACTTCATGTGCGCTCATTTTAGTTTAGTTTAAAGTTTTCCATCTTGAATTAATACTACTATCACCAACTATGTATTGGATAGCTCAGGCATTCAGTTAACAACTCAGTAAGTGAAAATCACTTCATGTGAGCTCATTTTTAGTTTAGGATAAGGTTTTTCCATCGTGAAATACTATTATCATTAACCAGGTATTGGGTGGCTCTACCATTCAGTTTACAACTCAGTAACTGTTTACTGAACATAGATATCCCTCCATGCGACCTCATTTTTTAGTTTAAAGTTTCTCCATCGTAAAAAAATAAAATATTACTATCACAAACCTTGTATTGGCCGGCTCCGGCATTCATTTTACAACTCAGTAAGTGTTTACTGAATGCAAAATCGCTACATGTGTGGTCATTTAGTTTAAAGTTTCTCAATCTTAAAATATTACTATCATCATCAACCATGCATTGGCTGGCTTAGTCTTTCAGTTTACAACTCAGTGAGTGTTAACTGAACGTGGAAATTATTACATGTGTGAGCATTTAGTTTAGTTTTAAGTTTCACAATCTTAAATTAAATACTATCATCAACCCCGTATTGGGCTCTTAGGCATTCAGTTATCCACTCGGTAAGTGTTTACTGAACGTCGAAATCATTTCCTGTGTGCCCATTTTTTACTTGAAACCCGTCTCCACTCCAAACCGGACCTGCGGTCCGAGTCGGGACCCTAGGTCCTGACTGGTTTGGACTGTTGCGTTAAACAGAGGCTACAGTTAAGGAATTGCGCCCAGTAAATCCTCCCCGGCCAGGATACGAACCCATGACATAGCGCTCGCGGAACGCCAGGCAAGTGTCTTACCACTACACCACGGAGACGTATTGGTCACGTTACATTAATGATATCTGGGCAAAGAACGATGTCATCATGTTGGTCGTGTTACGCTACAAGGTTATAAGGGTGAGAGTGATGGGGGCTCGAAAATTGACATTAGTCTTCCATCCTGTGGTGCGCTGTCAGTCTAAGTGAAATGAAAAAAGATATGTGAACAGCGGCGGTAGGAGAAAGAAAATGATGTTACTTTTCCCCAACTATTAAATGATCTGAATAGAGAGAGAGAGAGAAACCACTGACTGCTATGTGTATCCCATGCAGTTGTGTTTACAACAAATTATGATTTGTTATAATAATAAGATTGAAGACCAGCTTATGACTCTCGATATTCTTAAAAAAATGCTATTTGAGCAAAGAATGATGATACCATGTTGGTCACGTTGCGATACAAGGTTACACATATGATCAGAAATAATACTAAAGGCTTTGCACAGAACATCCGGTCTGGGAAGGTGAAGTGATGCTTGATGGTTTGGGCTTGGAAGGGGGGTGGGAGGGGGGTAGGGGTTTGGTGGGAGTTGATGGGGAGAGGGTAAGGTCATCCCAGTACCTCGTCCATCTCACTACGCCTCAAACCACCACGAAGGTTAGACCCTAACGATACGGATTGCTGTTTCACTCATTCTTGAACATTCTTGAACATTCTGTGACATTGTCTTGCTATGATAACGCCGTTGTGTTACAAGGTCTGCACAGCAGTAATGGCTGTAGAAAGAAGAGGTGATGGAGACACGCATACATTTCAATGATATTTATTTGGGCCAGCAAATGTTGCGATCACAGTTAACAAGAACAATTTGTAGGTAGAGATCGCGTCTCCCGTGACGATGTGTTGACTTATATTGAATTTTGTAACTAGCTCGTCATGATTGTAACTTGCTTAGCTAAAAATGAATTGTGGGGTTCAGTCCTGGACTCCTTTATGCGTCTCTGCAAGCCTTTACTGCTCATATGACTGCCTTGTGTGAGATTGGACTGTTTAGCAACACGTAGGTAGTTCTTGATGGAATTTGTATGTTGTGCTCATGGCACGCCTTTGCTATGTCCCAGTGAGAGAGAGAGAGAGAGAGATGGTACACCTCAGGTTCGCTCCCCGCCAAAAATGTTTCCCTCTTTTAATAATAATAATAATAATAATTTTTATTTAGGTAAGGTACATACATAAAGAGATTTTACAAAGTTTGTTGGGTTAATAGATAGAGCTAGTACATACAATGCCTAAAGCCACTATTACGCAAAACGTTTCGGGCAGTATTAGTAAACGCTAACCTACTGACTTTGACTGAGTTTACTAAGTGATGTGCCATGTGGTGACACTTCTCAGGTCGATGTGACGGTATGTGGTCCTGGTCCGTACCACTCTAGAAGGTAAGGGGGGGGAGGGTGCCCCACTCTAGAAGGTAATAGAGGGGAGGGAGAGGGGGGGGGCCCTGATGGTATGGGGAGAGGAAGGGATGAGGAGTGGGAGTGATTGACGATGACAGGTGTGGACCTGCCGGCAGTAGTAAGAACGTCGCTCCTTAACGAATCCACAGTGTTGGGAGAGGCCTGTTGGGGTGAACATCTCCAGACCACTCTGAAGACATTGAAAAACGATTAAGGTAATGGACCACATCCCTCTTGCTGCAGCTCTCATCTCCTCCTGGACTCTCCTACCCTCCTCCTCTCACTTCCGGCTCTGTGCATAGCTCCAAGAAAATAATGGATGTCAAAAACCACAAATGACCCTAAGCACTCTCACGCCGAGGGGAAGCTCCCCTCACCCTTCCAACACCCCTCCCCACCCCTCCCCACCCCAAACAACATATCCGCCTATGTTGGGACCCCTCACACCTACACTCAGCCTCTACATAGCTTTACTTACTATCATCTTTAATCAAAACTTTTTTTTTTTTTTTTTATTAAGTTATGAGGTACATCTGCATTAGTGCAGCTACCCTAGACTATATGAAGTGGAGTACAGTGTGTCAAAAAAGCTAACTAGGTGATGCTATAAAATCCCCATCACACAGGATGGTTAGTCATACAGAGGCATGTGATAAGCGGTCTGCACTGGCAGACTCCGGATGCATTTTGAGGATATCAACAACACAAGATTGAATAAGGTAGCAGTGGTAATACAAGTCCCCATCTCGCAGGATGGTTAGTCATACAGAGCCATGTGTTTAATAGCCTGCACTGGCAAATTTTGGGTATACTGTGAGGATATCTTCAAGAATACGAGAGTGAATAAAGTAATTGCAAAGCTCCAGGTACCTCATGCCAACTGGTCTGAAAGGTCTAATAGCTGAGCATTCAGTGATGTAGTGCGGGAGATCATGCCGTAGTTCCTGCTCACAGAGTTTGCAACTGGAGTGCTCAGGATTGGGAGACCCGTCACCTGCAGCCACCTGCCACAGGTAACGGTAACCCAACCTGATCCTTGCAACCACTGTGTCGCACAGTCTAGTGGACGTTTTGTGCTGTCCATAGATGTAGGTTTCAGATCTAAACAAATCATAGTTTTTTATACTAGTACTTTCAGGTCGTTGGGAGTCAGTAAGTTCTTTCCTATCAGATCTGAATGTTTGGACCAATACAGTTTTGACAGCAGAGATGGGGATACCTAGATCTAATTCAACTTCAAACTTGTTACACGCTAATTTGGCTGCAATGTCTGTCTCATTATGATGGGTTATATTTATGTGTTAAGGTATCCATACAAAGGAGATTCGAGACCCTTTACTCTGTGCATCAATTAGGTCATTTATAATTGGGAGTATGAGGTTCTTGCTGTCGATCTTCCAAGAGAAGTTTAATCAAAACTATTATCTACACACAGGATTAAGTCTACGGCAAACAGACATACATATTTAACTGCTCTTTCCACATATTCCACTCATATCCTCATTTTTCTTACTCTACCACATAGCCCACATACTCTCCTACCCCCCAACAACATGACCCCCCATCTTTCCTGACCGCATACCCAAACACCGGACGCTCACACGCGTCCGACACGCCACAACTTCTGGGAAAATCCCCCAAAAACCCATTGTGCTCCACCTGGCCAGATGGTGCGCGTCGCTCTAGTCCCGTGGGTCCCACCGGGCCAGATGGCACGCGTTGCTCAAGTCGCGGGGGTCCCACCCGCCCAGATGGCGTGCGTCGCTCTAGTCCTCAACTTCACTACTGACACTCACCTGGTGCCGGGGTATGGGAAGCTAACATTGGCACTCACCTGGTGCCGGGGAATGGGCAGCTGACATTGGCGCTCACCTGGTGCCGGGGTATGGGCAGCTCCACACACGGGTGCTTACTGAAGTGCACCACATGTCCTGTACGGATGTTGTTTGTGTGCAACTTGAGGTAGTTGTTCAGCTCTGCCCTGTGGACCAGTATGTGTTACTTGTACAGTATTTTGTGTTTTGCTGTTTTAATGTTTTTCTGTGATCAGTTACGCAATTCTTCAAATATGTAATGGAGATTATGCTAATTGTAATGATTATTTCGGGACAATTTTAGGTTAGGACAAATTTTATTTAGATTTTTCTTTGTTTATACATGATAACAAACACAAGCAAAATTTAATAATATGTCCGGCATTTTGTGTACCGAATTATTGTAATCAATATGGACTGAAGAGGTGTTTATCTTACCCGTGGACGTGGAGGGTGACAACTTACCCGTGGACGTGGAGGGTGACAACTTACCCGTGGACGTGGAGGGTGACAACTTACTCGTGGACGTGGAGAGTGGCAACTTACCCGTGGACGTGGAGGGTGACAACTTACCCGTGGACGTGGAGGGTGACAACTTACCCGTGGACGTGGAGGGTGACAACTTACCCGTGGACGTGGAGGGTGACAACTTACCCGTGGACGTGGAGGGTGACAACTTACCCGTGGACGTGGAGGGTGACAACTTACCCATGGACGTGGAGGGTGACAACTTACCCATGGACGTGGAGGGTGACAACTTACCCGTGGACGTGGAGGGTGACAACTTACCCGTGGACGTGGAGGGTGACAACTTACCCGTGGACGTGGAGGGTGACAACTTACCCGTGGACGTGGAGGGTGACAACTTACCCGTGGACGTGGAGGGTGACAACTTACCCGTGGACGTGGAGGGTGACAACTTACCCGTGGACGTGGAGGGTGACAACTTACCCGTGGACGTGGAGGGTGACAACTTACCCGTGGACGTGGAGGGGTGACAACTTACCCGTGGACGTGGAGGGTGACAACTTACCCGTGGAGGTCGAGGGTGACGTTGAGGAGAACGTTGAGGGGCCGCTGGTTGTAGTACTGCTCTTGTTCTATACCGGTGACGTGGACTCCCCCTCCCCCACGGTGCTTGGTGCGTGGGATCTCCGGCACCAGGATGTCCCGATCACCCATCACGTTATACCTCACCCACAGGTCCCAGTCCGCACTCTGTGGCACAGTCAACTGTCAGATTTTAACCATAAATTTATCGTTTCCGGGTATCTTATAAATGATTAATTGTGAAATAAGTTTAGTGAAATTCAAAAATAAATTCCAACCAAAGAGAACATTCAGTCCTTACACAATTACTGTGACTGTTGACCTGGTTTCTTAATATATTAGTTAAATGAATTATTGAGCAAAACCCCAATGAATGAAAAGCAAGTGAATTATAAATTAAATGGAGTTGTGTTTGTTGGTTGACTGATCAAGACTGAAACCTACAACTCTGCCTCATAAATACTCCTGACCATGTTCATAGGAACCCAGTTGTTGATCATCTCATTTGCCACTTTTCTCCTGACCATCCAGCCATAGGCAGGGGCTCCGTGGACCCTGTAGAGACGCGTGGGGTCGAGGGCGGTGTGGTTGAAGGCGTTGCTGTAATAGGCGCTGACACACAGTAATTTTGGGTCTAATGTGAGCAGTTGAGCTGTTTGGTGGAAGTACCTGACGAGGTAAA